TGAAGTGTTGCTTCACCTGGAAGGTATGTTTGGGCCCTTGGATAGTGGGGAGGGACGAGGTAAATGGGCAGGTGTTGCACCTTCGCCGGTTACAGGGGAAGGTGCCATAGGGCTGTGGGGGGGGTGTTGAGGGTGAAGGAACTGTGGACCAGGGTGTCCCGGGGGGAAAGGTCCCTGTGGAAGGTGGACAAGGGAGGGGAAGGGAATATGTGTCTGGTGGTGGCATCTTGCTGGAGGTGGTGGAAATGGCGTCTGATGATCTTCTGGATGTGGATGCTGGTGGGATGGTAGGTGAGGATAAGGGGAACTCTATCGCTGTTGCAGGAAGGGGTGAGGGCAGAAGTGCAGGAGCTATGTCACATATGTTCAGATGAGGCCAACTTCGACAAGGGAGCCTCCGAAATGTCCACCTTCTTCCTCAACCGAGGATTCCCCAGCACCGTTGTCGAAAGATCCCTCATCGGGGGCCTACCCCATCCCCCTCCCTATTGTCTGCATATAAACTGACATTTTCCCAGCTACCATCAGTTCTGAGGAAGGGTCACCGGACCCGAAACATTAACTCTGATTTTTTTTCTTCACAGATGCTGCCAGACCCTGCTGAGCTTTTCCAGCAACTTCTGTTTCCGTTCCTGATTTACAGCGTCCGCAGTTCTTGCGGTTTTTATTCCCCCAGAACATTGGCTGGGTTTCTGGATTAATAGTCTAGCGATATTACCACTCGGCCCATCTGCACCCTTATGCTACGCCTCCTTTTCCCGAGACTTTCACTCCAGCCGTTGTACATTGATCCTAATGTTAGTGTGTCCCGTGCCCCAGGTGCTTAGGTTTCGTGGGAAAGTTGTCTCAACTAATTGGCCTGACTCATGCCTTTAGGAGACCGCGGTAGGAAAGCAGCTCCGAAGGTGGACAGCCTACTGAGGTGGGTGGGGACGCTGGGGTGGGGGGTGGTTTCTGTCACTTCCGTTCCTATCACACTGCTGCAGGAAGGTGCAGAGATACTGCAGTAAGATTCGGATGAGCCGATTGAGTGACACAATGCCTGGCAGATGAAGTATAACGTGACTAAATGTGAGGTTATCCACTTTGGTGGCAACAACAGGAAGGCAGATCTCTGAGATGTGGGTGTCGCTGGCTAGGCAGCATTTATTGCCCCATCCCTAATTGCCCAGGGGGCAATTAAGGATCAATCGCATTCGCTGTGGGTCTGGAGTCACATGTAGGCCCAGACCAGGTGAGATGGTAATTCCCTTCCCTAAAGAACATTGGTGTTTTTTTCAACAATCCACAAGGCAAGGGCACAAAATGTACTCTGGGTGGGGGATTACAATGTCCACCACCAAGAGCGGCTCGGAAGCAGTACTACTGATCGAGCTGGTCATAGCTGTGAGACTGGGTCTGCAGCAGGTGGTGAGGGAACCAACAAGAGGGAAAAGCATACTTAACCTCACCATCACCAATCTGCCAGCTGCAGATGTATCTGTCCATGACAGTATCGGTAAGAGTGACCATCGCACAGTCCTTGTGGAGACAAAGTCCCGCCTTCACATTGAGAACAACCTCCATTGTGTTGTGTGGCACTATCACCGTGCTAAATGGGACAGACTTCACACAGATCTAGCAACTCACAAGGGCATCCATGAGGCGCTGAATTGTACTCCAGCACAATCTGTAACCTCATGGCCCGGCATATCCCCCTCTCAATCATTACCATCAACCCAGGGGATCAACCCTGGTTCAATGGAGAGTGCAGGAGGGCATGCCAGGAGCAGCACCAGGCATACCTGAAGATGAGGTAAAAACCTGGTGAAGCCACCAAACAGGACTACTTGCACACCAAACACCGAAAGCAGCAAGTGATAGACAGAGCTATGTGATTCCACAACCAAAGGATCAGATCTAAGCTCTGCAGTCCTGCCACATCCAGTGGTGAATGGTGGTGGACAATTAAACAACTCACTGGAGGAGGAGGCTCCACAAATATCCCCATCCTCAATGATGGAAGAGCCCAGCACATCCGTACAAAAGGTAAGGCTGAAGCATTCGCAGCAATCTTCAGCCAGAAGTGCTGAGTGGATGATCCATCTCGGCCTCCTCCAGTGGTCCCCAGCATCACAGATACCAGTCTCCAGCCAATTCGATTCACTCCACGTGATATCGAGAAACGTTTGGAGACACTGGATACTGTAAAGGCTATGGGCCCTGACACCATTCCGGCAATAGTACTGAAGACTTGTGCTCCAGAACTTGCCGCTCCCCTAGCCAAGCTGTTCCAGTACAATTACACTGGCATCTACCCAACAATGTGGAAAATTACCCAGGTATGCCCTGCATATAAAAAGCAGGACAAACCCAATCTGGCCAATTACCGCCCCATCAGTCTCCTCTCGATCATCAGTAAAGTGATGGAAGGTGTCAGTAACAGAGCTATCAAGCAGCACCTGCCCAGCAATAACCTGCTCAGTGACGCCCAGTTTGGGTTCCGCCAGGGCCACTCAGCTCCTGGCCTCATTACAGCCTCGGTTCAAACATGGACAAAAGAGCTGAATTCCAGAGGTGAGGTGAGAGTGCCAGCCATTAACATCAAGGCTGCATTCGACCGAGTGTGGCATCAAGGAGCCCTGACAAAACTGGAATCAGTGGGTATCAGGGGCAAACTCTCCGGTGGTTGGAGTCATACCTGACACATAGGAAGATGGTTGTGGTTGTTGGAGGTCAATCATCTCAGCTCCAGGACCTCTCTGCAGGAGTTCCTCAGGGTAGTGTCCTTGGCCCAACCATCTTCAGCTGCTTCATCAATGACCTTCTCTCCACCATAAGGTCAGAAGGGGGGATGTTCACCGATGATTGTACAATGTTCAGCACCATTCGTGACTCCTCAGATACTGAAGCAGTCCATGTTCACGTGCAATAAGACCTGGACAATATCCAGGCTTGGGCTGACAAGTGGCAAGTGGCATTCACGCCACACAAATGCCAGGCTATGACCATCACCAATAAGAGACAATCTAACCACTGCCCCTTGACATTCAATGGTGTTACCATCACTGAATCCCCCACTAACAACATCCTGGGGGGTTACCATTGACCAGAAACTCCCCTGGACCCACCACATTAACACAGCGGCTGCAAGAGCAGGTCAGAGGCTGGGAATCCTGCAGCGAGTAACCCACCTCCTGACTCCCCCCAAAGCCTGTCCCACCATCTACAAGGCACAAGTCAGGAGTGTGAGGGAATACCCCCCACTTGCCCCTGGATGGGGGCAGCTCCAACAACACTCAAGAAGCTCGACACCATCCAGGACAAAGCAGCCCCCGCTTTGATTGGCACCACATCCACAAACATCCCACTCCCTCCACCCACCGACGCTCAGTTACAGCAGTGTGTACCATCTACAAGACGCCCTGCAGCAACTCACCGAGGCTCCTTAGACAGCACCTTCCAAACCCACCACCACTTCCATCTAGAAGGACAAGGGCAGCAGATACATGGGAACACCGCCCCCTGCAAGTTCCCCTCCAAGCCACTCCCCATCCCAACTTGGAAATATATCGGCCATTCCTTCAGTGTCAGAATCCTGGAATTCCCTCCCTAAGGGGCATTGTGGATCTACCCACAGCAGACGGACTACAGCGGTTCAAGAAGGCAGCTCACCCCCACCTTCTCAAGGGGCAACTAGGGACGGAGGCAATAAATGCTGGGCCCAGCAGCGATGGCCATATCTCACAAATGAATAGAGAAAAAACAATGGATTCACGATCATCATTAGATTCTTAATTCCATATTTTTATTCAATTCAAATTCCACAATCTGCTGTGGTGGGATTCGAACCAGTTTTCCAAGAATATTATCCAGGTCTGGAATGAATAGTCTTGTTATAATACCACTGGGCCACTACCTCCCCATTATTACCTGAAAGGCGATAGTTGGGAGGGGGGGGGGGGTGTAACGAGACCTGGGTGTCCTTGTACACCAGCCGCTGAAAGCTCTCATCGCAGGGGCAGCAGGCGGTGAAAGAGGTAAATGGTACGTTGGCCTTTTCATAGCGAGAGGATTGGAGTACAGGAGCAGGGATGTCTTACTGCAATTGTACCGGGGCCTTGGTGAGACCACCCCCTGAAGTACTGTGTGCAGTTTGGGGTCTCCTTATCTGAGGAAGGATGTTCTGGCGATGGAGGGAGTGCAGTGAAGGTTTACCAGAAGGATTCCTGGGATGGCAGGACTGACGTATGGAGAGAGAGTGGATCGGTTAGGACTATATTCACTGGAGTTTTTAGAAGAATAAGGAGGGGAATCTCAGAGAAACCTGTAAAACTCTAACAGGACCGGACAGGGTCAATGCAGGAAGGATGTTCCCAATGACCCGGTAAGTCCAGAACCAGGGGGTCACAGCCTAAGGATTACAGGGAGGGCCATTTCGGACTGAGATGGGGAGAAATGTCTTCACCCAGAGAGTGGGGAGCCTCTGGGATTCTCTGTCACTGAAAGCGGTTAAGTCCAAAATACTGAAAGTTTTCAAGAAGGATTTGGGTATAGTTGTTGGGGCTGAAGGGATCAAAGGGTACGGGGGGACAAAGTGGGAACAGGGAACTGAGTTGGAGGATCAGCCACGATCCTATTGAATGGTGGAGCAGGCTCGAGGGGCCGAATGGCCGAATCCTGGTTCTTCTTTCACTGTTTTGATGAGACTAGGCCACAAGAAATGAAAATTAAGCATTCTCCCACATTCACTGCTCTATAACAGTTAGGAATGAAGGCAATGTTTGTACTAGGCATCCAGTTTGAAGTGTGGTCGGATCGGTAATAGTGAATTTATAGAATCTCACTGGAATTCCCTTCTGGATTAGGAAAAGTCTTTTACGATCTTGCCCGCACCAACTTTTG